CACTGGATTTTACGTACTGCCAAGGGCATCACTGATGAAGACGCTCATCGCTAAGAGCAAAGGTGAGGCTGTGGCAGTGGAGGAGACGGTGACGGAGGGCAAGAAGCCCAAGGCCAAGGCGAAGGCGAAGGCGGCTGCGAAGAACGAGGCCGCTCCGAGTGCGGGGCCGGCGGGGGCGCCTGGGCCTGCAGTGGAAGACAACACGTTGTGCACGGCAAATGAGGGATCTGCACCGAAGACTCGCAAGAAGGGCGCCGGGCAGGACGCAGCAGCTGCGGCTCGGGAGGCACTCATCGCGAAGCTGAGCGGTGCCGCCAAGTGACAGCTGCGGGCGATGTCTGTGCTAGCCAGGAGTGGAACTCCTCCGAGTCTAGCTGGGAATCAAGTCCGTGGGACTTGGGACTGACTGTTGGCTGGGGAGCACTGCCATACAGTTAAACTTATCTTGTATCGTAGGTCGTGACACCGCGATCTTTTCTGTCATGTCTCTGCCGTCGTAGCCAGCTTCCAGCCAACTCTGTGTCGCCTTGTGATCTGAGCCAAGAAGTACAGAAGCCATCTTACAAGAGGCCCCGGAGCATCGGCATCCAGTCATTGTTGATTTTACATGTGTATATATATATATACATGTATGTAGCGAGTCTTCCGAGTTGCTCTTGCTCTCGAGGCTAGCTCCTGCAAACTCTGCGTCGCATTGTGCTAGGCCACTGTTCGCCTAATCCTATGAGCAGGGACATGTGCCTTTTGAAGCTCTCTCGTGCAAAGAGTGGAGACAGAGAGAAATTGTGTGGCATTTGAAGACACACAGTGATATTAGGCCCCGACCTCTTTCCAGACGGTGTCTCTGTCTCCCTCCCCGACAAATCCCCGTGCTGCTGGGCCTTGCGGTCCTGGTCTCATTTTGGGAGAATCTTTGCGAGAGCCATGGTTGTCCTTCGCCCGACATAAAAAAAGATTAGTCTTGTGGGACCTCATGAGTTGATGAGAACTTGCCTGGGCATTGCAACGGCAGTGGTTTGGGGAAACAAATCTTGTGCCTGGAAGGCGCTCTTTCGCATAACTCGGACCTGGAGACATGCCGGAGGCCGAGCCGAGCAGCGTAAGGATTACCACTTAAGGGGCTTGCAGCATGTCACGGCCTATCTTGCAAGTGCTTGTGTGTGGAGCGGCTTGTTGAAGCCCGCTGAAGGGCTTGGTTCGAAACATAGTATTATGGGCATAATCGGATGGGACCTCATCAGTGTCAGTGGATGAGAGCTTGCTGAGCGGCGTTGCAAAGATTGTCACCCTATCCTTGTAGCATGTTGCTGGAGATATTGTTGCAGTGGTTCTGCGTGAGCAGGCGGCTTCATCTCAAGTATGGATCCCCCTTGCAGGGCGGTGGCCTGACAGGTAGGTTTGGATTTGTGGCCATGTTTTCCGTAGACATGGATGACACGCCGGAGTTGCCAGCAAGGTCCGGGCGTTTGTTCCGCAGCAAACGTGCGCTGGCACTTGAGTCAGTGGAGGCGCAGCCAGCTCCAAAGGCAAGGCGCGGGGCTGCACGAGAGTCTGATGCAGGGACAAGGAAGCCTGCGACAGAAGGGCGCAAGCGCCGGCCAGCGGCAGCCCAGAGAGCCGAGGTTAGCTTTCCGTCAGCCACGAGGATCCTTGCAATCCTGCGCTCCGAGACAGTCCTGCCGCCGCGACCAGTTGTTCGGAGACATCCGCATGAGCTGCTGGTGGGCTCGGCTTGCTCTGGGCTGTGCACAGAACTCTTCAGCCTTGAAGAACTCCGGCGACGTGCGCAGCCTGTCTTCTACTGCGAGCACGATGAAGGTCTTTTGAAGTTGAGTCGGGAAATGCACCAGCATGAGCTGGAGTTCAAGGATGTGTTTGACCCCAGCTTCGGCGCCGCTCCATACGTGGACCTGCTGTTCGCTGGTTTTCCTTGCCAAGGCTTCTCTTCGATGGGGTCCAGAACTGGAACAAGTCATGCATCTGGACTTTGCGTAGTCCCCATACTTCAGTACATTCACAACCGGCGCCCCCGAGCATTTTGCCTGGAGAACGTGAAAGCGCTGACGACCGAGCACCGCGACTTCTTCGGCAAGCTACTCGAGGTGCTGGCAGCGATGTGCGCTGGAGCGGGGGAGCCTCTGCAACGCCGCTGCAGAAGCTTGTAGTTCTCCTATAGCATGCTGTGCAGGGGCATTGTTTTCTTTCCATGGACATGCAACGGGCCATGAGGTATGACATCAGCTGGAAGGTGCTGGAAACATCGGAGACGACCCGGCTCCCTCAACATCGGCACCGTGTCTTCATCGTCGGAGTTCTGAAGTCCAAGCAGGCCCATGACATGCGATGGCCGGCTAAGGCAAGAGGAAATGTGCCTGTTTTAGCTGCTAGCGTCGGGGCTATAGTAGTAAGGCAAAAGTAGGACGCGTGCTACAGTTTCAACGAGACAGGTACCAGCGCAAGACCGCGACTCCATCAAGGATTATGTCCGCCCGCGGCCTGGTGACGACCCTGCGCGACAGCCGACCACAAGCACTGCGCGTGCAAACTGGCAGGCATCCATGCGCTATATTCATGAACACGGCGGCAAGCCAGAGGAACCCTGGGTCATGGACATTTCCTCTTCCGTCTCCAGGGCCGGGAAGGCAATGCTCGATCGGTCACCATGCCTGACGCAGTCCCGAGCTGCTGCGGCAGGTCATTGGCTATCATGGTTGGGCCGCTTCATGACCTTGGAAGAAATGATGAGGCTCATGGGCTTCCAGCCTAGCAAAATCCCCCGCAACATCGTCAGTGACAGAGCATTGGGAAAGGCACTTGGAAATGCTGTCCCTGTCCCCCTGCTCTCAAAAGTATTTGAAGAGCTTCTCAGTGCTGCAGGACTCTGATACAATGACAAATGTCGCAGAGTATTTTGTGCAGCATTCTGCAGGCACACGATGAGTCAGTTTGCGACATTCTGATATGCGCGCAATGCCGAGCGCTCGACAAAGAAAACTGTCCTCAACAGGCTCCTCCTAGTCTCGCAGAGTCTTCGGGTGGTAATTCTTGGCCCTGTTCGGGTTATTATCCATCTCGCTACGAGGATGGTAGAATAGGTCTTGAAAAGGACCCTTTCCGATTTCTATCCACTTTCCTTGAATGGCTTTCCCCCAATATTTGAAGCAACTGGGCTGAACCCTTCAACCTTAAACGTGTGTCCCAAAGCTTCTTGTTGGCAAAGCACGGAGACTGATTTCCCCTCGACGCCAGGAAGAAATCCCCCGAGAACCTGTCGACTTTGGAGGCTGCGCATAGGAGCTGTGTGCGGTCTAGGGCTAGGGTTTTTGGGATTAGGGGCTGGTGCAGGTAGGGTTAAGCGGTTCAGGGTATGTCATGTTCAAGTTGTGGACACGCCACGACTCCCGACTGTGACTGCAACGTCGCGGATGCATGTTTTTGGAGAAATGTCCCCAAGTCCAGTGAGGTCTTCAGCATGCAAAATTATTGTTCGGCAGCACTGCGTCCTGCAGATACATGTCATACACCCCATACGATATGACAGACCATGACCCTGAACCTTAGCTTCACAAGCTAGCCCATACTGTCAGGCAGCATTATTTCAAGAATTACAAGTACTTTTCATTATCCGCGCTATTCTTCTTCGTCGTATACTGTGCTTTCTGGCTTCTGTGGCAGGTGTCGCTACTATTGCTATTTCTGACCGGGCCGATGTGATCGCCCTGAACGGGAATCAGCGCGCTAAGCCCACAAAACTACAACCCAGGTTCCCACTGACAGCTTACAGTATATCCACCGTTTTTGAGCTGTCCCGAATACACGCTGTGATGCTACAACATACTGGTGCACAAAGGCCCTTTGGAAACCAGAACAAGCGGATCCTCAACGGCTGGCCAGCTGTCGTGAGCCTGGCAGGCGCGGCTCCAGGCAAGCCAAGTCATGTTCGAAGATGCTGAGTATTAGTAGCATACAATCACTGTCATTGCTCTAGGCACTATGATTGATAATCTCATGATCACCGGTATAATAGTTCTTGATGTCTGTATATTCTTTTTGTTCAATTCATGCTCTCTCTCAGGGGAGTCTTCTACATGAAGTCCTTCACGGCCGAGTCCTCAATGCGAGTAGATTCTTCTCGTGTGAGTTTGGGAGCAGGCACCTCTAGGGCAGATGAACGAAGCCAACCCGAATCCCTAAAACATAAAGTTTTACGGGGCTGGTCGAGCAGCTTTTTCTCGCGCTCGA